CTCTTCTTCCACTAAATGCCAAACTAAATGCTAGTACAATTTTTTTTTAACTAAGAAAGTCAAGATTTCAGAACTCAAGTAAATCAAATTATCTGTGCTTTCTTAATGCTGTTTTAAAATATTTCATGTATCTCTGAAGACAGTGGAAAGAAGACCACTGGTTAACTGGTCTTGGGGTCAAATTCATTGAATAAATTTGTGAATTTAGTGAATAAAAGGAAAATTGCAAATTTAGTGAATGAAAGTGCTATTACTTAGCCAAATTAGAAGTCACAATGAAAGGGATATGCATAGGTTTGAAAGCACCAGGAAAACTTCTGCATGCACCACAAATCAGTTGGAAGTATTTGCAGGAGTCAGTGAGCAGGTCGATAAGGGTGATCCAGCTGATATAATGTTCCTGGATTTCCAGAAACAACTCTGACAACACTGTTTTGTCAAAGTCCGTTAAAGAAATTAAACTGTAATGGCAGAAGTAGAAAGGTTCTTTTGTAGAAAAAGGATGGGTTGAAAGACAGAAAACAAGGAGTAGGATTAAATGGTTTGTTTTCACAGTTAGAGCAGCAGAAGGCAGAGTCCAACAACCCTCTGTGTTCACCAGAGCTGTTCAGCCCATCTGTGACCTGTCTTCATGGACACAGGAACTGAATAAATGTGCTGGTGACACACTGCTTTTGGCTGTAGAGAATTGCAGAAAGTCCTCATAAATCTCAACTAATGGGCAGAAAAGTAGCAGAGAAAATTCAGTTCAATAAAGCAAAGAGTTGTACATTAGTTAAGGGGGAACTTTATCCAAATATGCAAAAATATTTGTCTTTACTCAGGAGAGGGAGGAGGGCCACGAAAATGGAACATCTCTCCTATGAAGAAAGACTGAAAGAGTTGGGGCTGTTTAGCCTGGACAAGAGAAGGCTCCAGGGAGACCTTACTGCAGCCTTTCAGTGTATAAAGGGAAATGGAGAGAGACTTTTTTTTCTCAGGGCCTGTAGTGACAGAGCAAGGGGCAAGGGCTTTAAACTGAAAGAGGGTAGATTTAGGTTGGACATGAGGAAAAAAATTTTTTATGATGAGGGTAGTGAGACACTGAAACAAGTCGCCCAGAGAAGTTGTAGGAACCCCCTCCCTGGACATGTTCAAGGCTTTGAGCAAGCTACTCTAGTGATAGATGTCCCTGCCCATGGCAGTGGAGCTGGACTAGGTGATCTTTGAAGGTCCCGTCCCCCACAATACAAACCATTTTGTGATTCTATGATTTTGGAGTCACTGAGCTCAGTGTGAAAGGATAGTCTTAAAGATTAAAAAAAAAAAGTAAGGCTTATTAAGGAGGGAATTTAGAACAAGGTAGAAAACATTACTGCACCACATGAATTCATGGTGTGTCCATGTCTTGAATTTTGTAGTCTGCCCACCTATGACTGCAAGAGGTTGCAGAAGAATTAGAAAAGATTTAGAGATGGATACGAAGGTGAGCTTGGTATGGGATACTGCCACACAAACAGAGTCTATATAGATGGAGACTCAGCCTGGTAAAGTGATCATTGAAGGTTTCTATGTGAAAGTTCGGACTAAGGATTTTGACAGTGAGGGAGATATTGAGGGTCTCTGATCAGCAGGTTCCCCCTTCTTCCTCTGGTAAAACAAGCCTCTACACAGGGAAACATCTTGTCTTTCATTTCTTTCTCTTGCTTTTTACCTCCTGTCACACACATCATGAAATTTCACAGGGCACCAGCTCAGCTGCAGACTGCAGAAGCAAGAGGAAGGCTGGAAGGCAAAACCTCGAGAAACTCCCACCTCTCTGAATTTGTCAGTGAGACGGCAACCACACCGTGCACTGTGGAGAGTGTGCTCTGCCCAGCACCAGATCTGTCTGTGAGAGCTGTAGCTATATGGAAATGCAAAGAGTTAAATAATTTATAACCCTGCCATTCTAAGTAGCACTGAGAGCCTGGAGACTGGTAAATGACACATTGAGTGCCTCTTTGTTCATAAACCATTGCCTATTAGTAAGTGAAGTAGAAATCACCTCGTTCTTCAGAAACTATTTCCTATCTGTTCTAACTTGGATCATGGCAGATCAGAAGGACAGGGTGAATGACCCACTGACAGCAAGTTGCATGGGTGATCTTGGATCAGTCAAGGGATCAGACACTAGCGCAGGTTGCCCAGAGAGGGGGTGGAAGTCCCATCCCTGGAAGTTTTTAAGGCCAGGCTGGATGGGGCTCGGAGCAGCCTGATCTAGTGGGGGATGTCCCTGCCGATGGCAGGGGGGTTGGAACTACATGATCTTTAAGGTCCCTTCCAGCCCTGACAATTCTGTGATGCTATGATTAAGATTCCTTACAATACCGGTGTTTTTCTTTGTTCAGTTATCATAGCAATATGCCACGGTGCAAACTCATTCCAGTCTGACGATGCCTGTCTCAGCAGCTTCTTTATAGCTTGCTGTGTGTTTGCTTCCCTGCCTGTCCTCTAGAGCACATCACGTTTGACACAGCTCGTTTGTGACACAGTTACCAGGCTGGGAACAGACCTGTTCTTCAGCTCATCTACTGATGCCTGTCACTTCCACAGGACTAGCAAACCAGCTCAGCACCACTTTATTCCTGCATATTTCGGTGTGCTTGCCTGAATTCATTTATATCTATTTAACCTACTTGCTGTTTTGATGATGTGATGTGCGAATGAGATGGAGCTTATTGTATCAACCCACCTATTTTCCTAACATCCACCATTCCCTTACATGTCTCCTCATCCAGCTGCAGTAAAGCAGGACTCTGTCCTCTTCACTCATGTCACACTCGAGTGCTTCCCAATAAAATAAGGAGTTGTAATTTTCAGAATTTTATATATAGGGACTATATAGCATCTATATAGGGACTAAATAGCATCTGTGGCTCATCTGACCACAGTTAAAAGAAAATTCTCGAGAGAGCAGAAAAGGTGTTTTTACAATGGGTTAAGTTGTCATCAGTCATTACTGCAAAGAATAGTCCTAACTTTTTAAATTAAATACAGAGATATCAAAGAACTAAATGCTTCTGCTACAGGACATAAACAATGTTCTAAGTTATAGGGCTTAAATGTTATTTTTTCCTGGATTGATTTGAATAGTGAGATAATTCAGACACACTGGCAGTGAACTACTGTCTAAGTAAAGATGCTGAGGAGCAGGGACCACTGTTTTGCCCCTGAAATAGTCATTCTGCTCATTCTGTGAATTTATTTGTGTTTAAAAGGACAGTAATTTCACACATGCTAAGTACAGACACCACACACAAATGCAGACAAGCACAGTATGCACAAATTTAAGGAGTGCTTGACTTTTTTATATTCCATGGAGAATACACTGAAAATGCTTGCTCTTAGCAGTGTCCAAGGTTGGAAAAACTGGACAGAGTAAGTAGCAAGTTTCCTGCTGGATTGATTAAAAAAATGACAGTAGAGATTCCAGGTATGATTCATCTAATCTAAATGAAGACATTTACAGCTGAGTTTCTCTAGGCTAACTTTATTGTTGAGCGCTAGGTATTTTTAGGGTGGAATTCATCTGGCTTGTGCTGGATATCTACATTTGATTGGCTGAATGCACCCCGGCATCATACGTGATGCCTTTGAACTTCACCAGGTCTTGGAGGATGCAGAACTGTCCTCTTGTTGAGAGAGGCCTCCCACTCTTTCTTGCTGTGCACAGAAGAAACAGCTATTTTAAGTCCTAAAAATCCTAGACTGCTTTTTCTCTGACTCCGTGCCAGGATCAAGAGGGAGACCAGGAGACAGGCCAGAGCAGCAAGCAGGCATCATCCCCTTTCCTTCCCCTCAGAAGAATGGTAATGCATTACAGTTACCACTTGCAATAATTTGTATTAGTCAGGGAAATGGGTAATTACCTTTGATTGCTGGCAACACCGATCTCTTCCAGGGCAAGAGAGTGATTTTTTTTTAATATTTTTTTTTTGTTTCTGAATAAGTGAGCTGCCAGTGCTCAGAGAGTCTGCAAAACCAGATGATCTGAAAGGGAACTGTGCTTTCAACATGTCTGAGAACCACTGCCCCAGCTGTGTGAGAAAATCCTTGATGACATCAGACACCAAGCTCTTTCCACCTCTCTCACCATGGAACTGCTCTTGACTGAGGGTGCTGCCACCCCAGGAAAGGAGAGTGGCACTCCTGTGACCTGGTTTCAAGCTTCTAAGATTTTCCAGTGCAGAGAGAGATTCACCTGTGAACTCCTTCAGGGCACCTATTTTAGGCTACAATTCTGAACTGTCCTGTGGGGAAATTTCTCTCATTTATGGAGTACGCAGTGTATTTAATTCCTTCTAAGTAGGGTGCATAAATGCCCTACCCTACGCACCGAGAAAAGCAGAAAAGATCTTCGCATGAGAAACATCTCTGAGCAAATTAGGGTAACTAGAAGTTGGGGAAGACTGACTTGCATAAAACAGGGAACCTTTTTTTGTCATTTGAGATAGTTTTTTCTTTTTGGATGTTAAGGTAATGATGGATAATCAATATAGGAAATTAACGCATCTTTAAAAAAAACCTGAACCCAGTAATACTAACACTGATGTATATTTTTTCAGTGACAGTGCAATAATTTGTATTAGTCAGGGAAATGGATAATTACCTTTGATTGCTGGCAACACCGATCTCTTCCAGGGCAAGAGAGTGATTTTTTTTAATATTTTTTTTTTGTTTCTGAATAAGTGAGCTGCCAGTGCTCAGAGAGTCTGCAAAACCAGATGATCTGAAAGGGAACTGTGCAGTAATACTAACACTGATGTATATTTTTTCAGTGACAGTGCTGCTCAGTTCTCCTCCATTTCCCATTGTTGTTATGGATTTCCATTGCATAATTACTATACTACAGCACTTCTTAGACTGTGGCAAGAAAAATATTGCAGGCAGAGAGTACAGTTTTAGACTCCAGTATATGTGTCAAATCCACTCAAAGGCTAGAAATCTGCAATTACACTCTGAAATATTGCCTCACTTACCAACTGAAATGGTCCAAACAGCAATTATTTTTGCAAAAGCCTTAGTTCTTGAGTTAAAACGGCTGTGGTGGATGGGATTTCGAATGGCAATATAGCGATCCAGTGAAATGGCACAGAGGTGCATGATGGAGGCAGTGGAGAAAAGCACGTCCAAGTAGATCCAGATGGCGCAGAGCTTTGTAGGTAGAGGCCACGTGTATCCTGCACAAGAGAAAGGTGACATCAGCTAAGAACATGACATACTCAGATCTTTTGGTGTGACACGTATCTTAGCGCATGTATCCATTTAGTAGAAGCCAGTAGTAAGTGACACCTTCAACAAAAGCTGCTTGACACTAGTTCAGGAAACTCTTTTTCCTTGCTTGCAAGGTTCTAACTCTGTAGCTTTGGGGATAAGTTCTGCTTCTTTCCCAAGCTACAGGAAGCATATGTTTTTTCCTTTAATTCTATTTGCATAAGGCTAATGCTTGATGTTATAGTTAATCTTTTCTGGCAGCAAATCTACAGAAGGAGAAGCAATTTTGTCATTGCAAACCTGCAAGTTCTCAATTTTGGTTTATGACTTTTTATGCTTGTAATTACTGCATTATTAACATCTGCTGGTACGCAAAGCCATCTAAATTCCAAAACTGAGACTTTAGATCTTTAGATCTTTATTAGCAGCTAAAGAAAGAAATGTATTTTGTTGCATACCAGTGATATTTATCTCACCTGTCTTTGGCCACCCACCACATAATTAAACAAGAATATTCACTGTATCAATGAATATTGATATGCTCCCCCAGAAAGAGCAATCCAAAGAAAATGCATTAGTGTTTGCCAATATACAACCTATATTCTTAGGCTGCAAATTAGGCCTTCCCTTTTTTTCTTGTTCTTTCCACTCGCCATGAAGAATAAATGATTACTCTCCTTTCTGGAAGCTATTGGAAGATGGTTATCATGTCTTGCCTAGTTTTTTTCTTTTTCTCTTCCAGGCTAAGCAAAGCCAATGCCTTTGTCTTCTGCTTACAGATGATTCTTTTAAAACTTTTGTGCTTCTGGTTCCTCTGCCCTGTAATCTGTTTGTTGTAATCTTGTTTGTTGTTCAGTGACCAAACCAGGACTCAGTACTCCTGCAAAGGCCCCCAACTGCTAAGTGAAATACAAGATCTTGCAAGGAAGGTCCTTACTTACACAGCCTGGAATGATGAGTGCCTTTTCTATAAAAATATCATACTAGTGTCACATGCTTAGCTTACAATCCATTTTGACAGCCAGATCTTGTTCAGCATTCCTGAAACCTGGACACACTTCCCCAGCAGTAGTTGGTTTGCTGTCTTTTTCCTAAATGGGTATCTACATTTATTCTCACTTAACGTTATTTGTTCATCAGACTTTCCCTCAGGGCTCCACGTGATTGTTGATGATTCCAATCCTGTCCCTCTGAGTGCTTGCAACCTCTCCCAGCTTGGTGTTTCTGGAAAGCTGTGTAAGCTCACACTCTTATAGCCTGTCCAAGTTGTTTGAAGCAGTACTGAGCAGACCCAGGCTAAGCAGAACCCTGCTGGACGCCCATTCAAAAGCCCTTCTAGTCCGGCAGGAAATCACTAATAACTCTCCTTCTGGCAGGTTTTGCAGTTAGTCATGTCTTCTTGTGGTGATTTAATTTAGAGCATATTACCCGAGCTGCCCATGACAATGGGCAATGCCAAAGCTGCTATTAAGAGAACATGCTAGCATTTTGGGAGGCCCTGTCTCCTTTAGAGATACAGTACAAGATTCGCAACAGAGAGAGGCAGAGGACCTAGATCTGTGCCTAGTTAAATTTAGTCTCCTCAGACAGTCCTGTTTCCTGATGCTCTGGGACTGCTGTACTACGACCCAATCCTGGCAAACCACACAGAACTTATGGATATGTTTTATCTTGTTTTCTGGTCTTCCAATGGGGAATCCAGTCTCTAAACTGTGTATGTGAGGGCTGACTTTCAGGGGCATGTCCTCCCAGCAGCATCTCTTTGTCAGGACAGGACAGTTTACACAGGGAAAAGTGATAAAATATTTTCACACTTGGCAACATGCATCTGTTCTCTTGCTTTAATGGCCTTTGGGAATGTATTTGTCATATCCTTCTAGACCTCCTGTCCTTGCTATAAACCCAGATGGGGCAGAGATAAAATAACATCCATCAGAAAAGCTGCTTTGGAGAATACAGGGCCAAGAAAATGGGAACTCCATGAGAGGAGCCAACTGTAGATGCAACAAGAGTGAGGAAGGCTGTAAATAACATCCTCCAGGCAGGCCTTGAGCCATATCTAAGGTCAGTGCTCTGCTGCTCAGGAGCCCTCTGAAATGCCCAGGAGCCCTCTTGAATGCGTAGTCCTTCCACTGCAGCATCTGCCAATAATCTTGACAGCTCCACACTGGCATGGGGCAAGTCTCTGAGGCAGGAGAAACAGGCATCTGGCACTTGATACATGTTTGGGTGGGAACTGGAGCTGTTGATCAGCTCTCTGAATTTTCTGCTGTTTGAGCATGTCCACCATCCACTCCTTTTTCCCAAGCAGAGGCTAACGATGTTGAGTGGGTGGAGAATCCTGTCTGACCAAAGGATGCAGGCTGGACAGACATGTGGCTGGTGTGGCTAGGACACTCGAGAAGGGATTGTCCACAGTAGCCATAAAGGTCTCAAGAACATCATCTGTCTTGTGAGCAAAACAGTCACAAGGGGCTGCATGGCAGGTGGTGGAGCGTCCTTGTTCTACAGCCTTGAGGGTATCCCAGCAGAGCAAGACGGATGCGAAGGTCTCTGGCTGGAGCTGAGAGCTGACAACATAGGTGATGTGGCTGATGTTGGTCGCACCCTGGCCTTTCTCTGGACAGCTGAGGCTGAACAAATGCTCCTGTATAACAGCCGGTTTCCCTCTGACCCATCAGGTCAACCTGGGGGCTGATGGCGCACTATGTCGAGACAGATCTTCTGGTACCTGTGAGCACCACCAGATGATTTTTCACAAGTCACCCTGCAAAGTCCTCCCCTTCTTGACTTTGTGAGGGAAAAATCAGAGAGGAAGGAAAGCCTGCACACACCCTCCCCTGTGGCTTTGGGTTCCCTGCTGTTCCTCTAAGCCAGCGATTGCAAAGGAGGGTGATGCAGCCTTACCCCCATGACCAGGGTTTTGGCTTCACTGCGTGCAGGAAAGAAATGCCTCGTCCAGATTACCAGATTGCTTCTGATCTGCGGATTTCGAGCACCTCTTTCCTCACCTCCGAAGCACGGCCAGTAGGAGTCCCTGTTGCATGGCTCAAGGAATCAAGGCAGGATTTTACAGGGGTTTTGCTCATCTCGCCCGTCGGATGATTTCTGCTCCCTCGTCTCTCTTTTCACTGTCTCTCCCACCAAGAGGTAATTGCACCTCTAATGCAATAAATCACAACGTTACACCATCACCGATGCCAAAGACAGTTTTCAGATCCTATGGAGAGCAATCTGTGCAGAAATACTGAAACTGGGAGATAAACTTCCAGTTTTCTGGATGAAATCTCTCTTAAATCACAGGCTCATGTTGTACCTTTAGTCCCTAAATTAGTGAAGCAATAGAAATCTCTGCAAACAACCTTACTTTTCTCCTGATATGGTCTGGCTTCTCCTTGAATTGTAGCAATTCAGTTGTGGCACTGGAAAACTCATTCCTCAAAGTTTAGGGATTACAACAGCCTGACAATATGGGAACTGAACACACAGGCTGCTGCTTTTTTCTGCGTGAGCTGTGCTGCAAGTGAGTTTGGTGAAAATGAGAAGATCTGCTATTAATCACCTACAAGGGTATGAACTGTAAGTCATTATTCACTTAATTCTTAAATAACTTATTCTGAGAAATCATAGATTCGTATTTGTAAGTGCTAATGAAAATTCAGCAGAATTAATTCCCAGCCCTTTTTCAACTCCCACAATATTTATTCCAGTGTTTGCTGGTAAGGAAATGTCTAAGCAGGATATTGGTTGTAAGAAAGTTATTTACATTCATATTTCTTCATTAAAAAAAATTTGAAGAGGTTGCCTACTTTTAATCTAAAGGTAGCCATTAGTGCTTCTGTGCATATGTGCAGAGTAAAGTAACTGGCAGGATCCTACATTCTCATTAGGAATATTAAAAATTATGAACCAAGGGGAAAAAAAAAGAACACAGAAAACAAAGCAGCTTCGTATACACTTTGAGACAATTCATCCAGCACCTGAGTAATAAACTAATGTTTTGGACTACTGTTAAAATGACTATAAATAAAGTAGAAAAATATTCAAATACTTCATCTATTCTTACATCTATTAACCAACTACGTATGTTTCAACTTGTATGGAGTGATTACATTTTTTTGTGGAAACAGAATGAAATAATAATAACAGTGACATGTGCATGAAATGTTTAGAGCTTCTCAATGCATGCAATAGGTTACACAGCTAATACTCACCGTACAGTATGGTTAACATTGACACAGGCATGACAAGGAAACCCAGCAGCATATCAGCTATTGCAAGTGACATTAGAAAATAGTTAGTGGCATTCTGCAGTTTTTTCTCCAGCGACACAGCCATGATGACAAGAATATTTCCAGCAATGGTTAAAACGATCACTATCACTGTCAGCAAAGCTGGCCAGTTTTTCTGTGAAAGCTGAAACAGGGAAGAGTAGCAGGGTGGACCCATGTTACTTTCACACGAAAGATTTGTTAGATTTTCAGAGTCCCCAGTCAAATTAAGGAGATGTGATATATTAATCTCTCCAGCTCCATAAACATTTCTGTAGAGTCTTCTTTCATGGTTTATTTGTATTAAGGAGTTTGCAGTTGGGTTCACAGAGCTCTCCTCATCACAAAGAATATCCATTGCTAAGTCTGAAACCGGTGAGATAAGTAGTGAAAAATAGGAAATTATCCCCCTTTGTTACCATCAGGCTTTATATTCCGCAGCTGTCCATGCCAGAAGTTGAGGGAGCACAATCTTTTGTTGACTGTAGTTTTGCCGCTAGCGTGATGTAGAAAAACGTGCCAGAATAACTCCGAAAGCTGAAACGTTTTGTTTTCAGTTCCATAGGAAGTCCGGCGTTGGCATACATTGAAAATCCAGCTGAAAAGCAAAACCAAGCTGTAGGATAGAGAGTATGGACTTGAGGCTTCAGAGAGCAAAAATGTTGGAGAAATAATAGAGAAAAAACTTTTGCAACCACTAGGACTCCCCTCCGGAGCTAGATCTTATTGCTATTGGTAACTGTAATCACACAATTTTAAACACAGCAGTATTAAAATAGCTTGCCATACAAACCAGCAGAGCTCTCGCTTCCCTATTAAGAAAGTTGATTAAAGATTCCATTCCAGCATCTTTCTCTTAAAATAATTAGATATGCTCTTATTTATAGTTCATCCTCCATAATATGGCTGATAGTCTCTGACTTCTGTTGTATTTCAGTATCATTTTCAGCCTCATCTCAGAGATTACACATTCTGCTCCTTGCTGATTTTTACAGCTACTTTTTAACTTTTGGCCCAGCCTGGATTCAGAATAGAAATTAAGCAACTAGATAGTATGATTAAAAAAATACAATTTAAGGAAGACTTACATTGTACTTCAAAGCCCACACTCAGACTGCAGTTAGGTGCACTTTTTATTCTGATTTACCACATTCTTCACTGTGTTTAGCCCGTTTTGTGTCCGTTTTCTTCAGTATCCTCCAAAATGATGGCATTTGGAATAGTTTTTTGGCTTCTAAACTGCACACTTGAGTGAAGCCAGTTCCTGTGCTGTGAGGCTTGCTCTTTTCTTCCGAGAGATAGGCTGCTTGCTGACTCCTTCCTTGTGCATTTCCCCGCCCTAGGGCAAGCTATATTTAAACTAATAATAATATCAGAGCCCTTCTCAGAGTGACACAAAAGAAAGCACACACACACACACACACATACACATGAAAAAGCAGCTTACACAGAGAAATTACTGGTTTCAACAGGAATGGAATTTCTTGCTCCCTGCCTTGTTCACTTTGTCAGACCTCCCACTATCTGGATGTCATAAACTGCAAGGTAGCAACAGCAAAAGAGGGCAGGGGAGGGCAGACCAAAGCATGTCTTTCTGGTAAATTAGCAGTTTAGCAGTGTCTATTTTGGAGGTCCTCTGCTTGGGTGCTTTTTCCGTGCATGCTTTGCATGTGCAGCGGATGGCTCGCGAACACAGCTGCATGTAACTTCAGCGTTTTAGAGGATGCAGGCTTGAAAGAGACAAACTCGAAGGCTCGTGATGGTAGATAGAAGTGAAAAAAAGTAAGTGTGAAGCTTTTTCCATGTAGAGGGGAAATTTTGCCAGCCTTGAAAGGAAGGAGTAATATTCAGTCCCCTTCAGTTTTAACTACAGGTCTGTGCTAACATGTTAATAAAATTTGCAATAGGTATTTATAAAAAAAAAGAAGAGGTCTCTCTGATGTCATGCTCATTTGTCAGGGATGGATGCAACAATTAATTGTGACAGCCTGTCCCAAGCAAGTGTCCCAAATGAAGCAGCTTGGTAGAGCAGAGGAGGAAACAAAACAGCCTTCCTCTGTTTCTGCCTTGTACCTCTGCTGCCAGGACACAGCTGAAGAAGTAGCTAACTCTTCAATTTGCCACCCAGCACAAAATCTACTCCCAGATTTTCTGAGGCTTGCAGCTGTCAAAATTTCAGCTGAGTGGGTCCGTGCCCATCCTGGAAGATATTTCAGGTTTTCGTCATGTGGAGGGCAATGGCTTTATACAGGCAGGCTCGGGCAGTTTGCAGGGAAGGCTCAGAGAGGGGTGGGTGAGTGTGAAGAGGACCTACAGGGAAGCTGAAGAGGGACTTTTTACAAGGACATGTGGTGATAGGATAAGGGGCAATGGTTTTAAAATAGAACAGGTTAGATTTAGATTAGGCATTATGAAGAAGGTTTTTTACTATGACTGTTGTGAGACACTGGAACAGGTTACCCAGAGAAGTTGTGGATGCCTCATCCCTGGAAGTGTTCAAGGCCAGGCTGGATAGGGCTCTGAGAAACCTGGTCCAGTGGGAGGTGTCCCTGCCCATGGCAGTGGAGGTGGAGCTACATGATCTTTAAGGTCCCTTCCAACTCATGATTCTGTGATTCCGTGAGTCCCCGTCCCAGCTGGCCCACAGAAGCTGCAATGTGCTCCCGTAGCTCAGCTCTACATGTAGCACCACTAACCCCTCTGCAGATCCTGGGAGCCTGCAAACATATGGAGAGATACTACAGATCAACTGACATGTACTAATCTCTTTTGGGGTAAAAAATTTTCTGAAAGTGAGTCTCAGAGCACATGCCAATGCCCACCCAGATCATTGAGGCACCATTACAGAGAGCCTTTTACTGTAAACTTTCTTTGGAGCCAGACCAACTACCATCAAAGCAGGATGGAGCAGCCAGGCAATAGCTCTTCTGATGCCCACGTGGGAGTTGGGAATGAGTCATTCCGGTACTTAGAGTTTCCCAACCCCACAGGTGAGGCCAGAAGACTTATCAGGCAACACAAGCTGATAAAAAATGCTGATAAAGCTGGATTTAGCAGGAAGTGTTTCAGCTCTGGCAGTCCTATCCAGGAGCCAGAAGAGACCCTTTTCCTCTCTCCTTTGGTACGATAACCAAATGGGTTCAAATTCACCAAGTGAATTCAGCATCTGTGTTCCAGAGGGTTCAGCAGATGTTCCTGTGAAGGTGCCCTTGACATGAATATACAAATCTGCTTGCAGAGGTTGGGCTTCGCTTCCGTTTAACACGGCTACTGTGCAAAACAGGACACAGGACGCCTTGACTAGAGCTATGTATAATCATTTGTGAGGAACCCAGGTGTCCTGTTGTTTTCTTAGATGCCTCCCTCTGGGCTCTGAAGACTCTAATGTAACAGTCATGAGAGGGAGGTACTTTTTTGGTGGTGAATACCCAAACAATGGGTTTAAGGCTGTAGCTGCCAGCAAAGCCCAGTTTCACCAAGCAGAGCTGTGTACCTTTTTCCCACTCCAAGAATGGGATGGAGGTTTAGGAGCTGGTCTTACACTTACCTGAATGAATACACTAAGAAATACATTGTGTGTAAAATGTTTGTGAATCCTGATTTCACATCTGCAGCTCCCTGTAGACCAGAAGCAGATGCCTAAAGGATCTCTCTTCTCCCTACAGACTAGCTGCATCTCCCCTTCATTGCAGTGATATGACTTTTACTCAGATCTTCAACCTTCTTCTATCCCAATGACTTATTTAAGTCCACAGGTCTACTCTGGATATCAGGAATAGAAAAGATATGTGCAAACAGGCTGAATGTTGCCTTGTCTAAGACCTTAGCAGGTACAGTGGTACAGTCATAAGCACTTTAGATAGGCATTGAACCATTTCCTTTGGTCTAGCTGTAGACACATCACCACAAGGTCTGAGTGACTTGTGAACCCTACTTTGTCCCCAATAAACTATTTGACATATGTAAAACTGAGGCATAGGTAGATGAAATGTCCTGTTTAGGTTTGTGCATAAAATGTAGATGAGTCAGAAAACACTTTTGTATATTGCAGTATGTCAGAAACAAATTGCAATTTTACGATGTCTTCTAGCAAAGTATGTTGGATTGCTACTGAGCAAAAGCCTATTGTTTTATTTATTTCAGGGCATTTTTGACTGCAAAAATGACCTCTCCTGCCTCCCCACAAGAACCTGAAAATGGCTTCCCTTCCATATAGTATCATTACAGGGGCTGAACAACTATAAAGTATCCAACCTTCTTGTGCCAAACCCCGTGCAAGGAGAGTGCCGGGGCTTCCACAGATGGTCTTATCTCCTTGCAGAACTGAGCTTGCAATTTGCCTTGAGAGAACAGTGAGGTACGACTTTCAGATGATTAGTCATGTCTAAAGCCAGCCTTGACCATTGCTTTTTCCTAAAGTGAATAGCTCTGAAAAATTGTAGGTCCTGTGGTCTTCCATTTTTAAACAAACAAGCTCGCACTTTGAGAGCAGCAGAACCTCACACACTGGGACCTGCAATTCCAGGCAAACAAAGTCTCTGCACTAAAAACAGACAGCTGTAGTCTTTCCCAGTCTATGTAAATTAAGTGAAATCTTAGTTTAAAATGGTGATAATGTGGTCTGCATTAGACATAAAGCATTCTTAGAAACACAGCTGGCCTGAGAACAGTCTGCATATTGGTTTTTAATTTCTGGAAGGTGCCAGCCTATCAGATACATGAGAGACAATACTCTGTTCCCTAGCTCTGCTTGGAAATGTTTTAGGACATTAATCTGTCTTCCTGGGCAGAGTTTCTGTCCTTGGCATGGTGCACATAACTGCTTCCTAGAAATGCTGCTTTTCAACAATTTCATCTGAAAGAGAAGTATAAAAGCTAGTTTACATAACTCAAATTTGCTATTTTCAGGATTATTTCAAGTATAAAAATCCCCAGTTTCTGAGTTTGGCGTTGCCCTCCTTGATGCTTTGAGGGGATTGTGTCATCAGTAAATATATAAACTACAGAGGTTAATTGTTCACTCTGACATCTGAAAGTGAGGCAAGTGGAATGTGAATAATTTGTGTTGTGGTCAAGACTATTACTATTTGGTTTCTCTGTTTACATTTATCAGGGGCTGCTGGAGCAGTTAAGACTGTGGTGCCTGAAGACATGAATCAGAGCCTAGTTATTACAAACCAGAGCAAACAACTAAAAAGCTCTGCTCTCTTTTTGATGCAAGCTCTGCAGTTGAGCTCATACTACTCCTCTTGACCTTCTTGACCCGGGCCATTGCAATGAGGTGAGGAAAGGAAGATATGACGTTTCCGAAATCCATGCAGGAACAGGGTCCCTCAAACTTGCTGTCCACAGGTGATGACCATGAGCAAGGTGGGTGTTGCAGCACCAGCACTCTGAGTCCTTCCATACATGGGCCATGACTCTTGATGATGGAAAGCCAGTGGTGAGTAACTGGT